GAATAAATGCATCACTGTGGGATTTTGCCTTTTTGTCTTTCAGAGAGTTTTGGGAAAGAAAGTAGTTTCGTGAGCTTCTCCTTGAAACCAGCATCAGGAAACCAGGTATGTTTGGTATTATGTATCTAAAGAGACTATATCCACTTATTAGGCCTACTATCACTCCAAATGGTTAATTGTGTATTTGAAAATTATGATCCATCTCCCAGACATCAACATGTCTGTTTTACTTTACCAGGTGGTTCAACTGACTGCTTTCAAGCCCTCAGGTATTTTCATCATTTCCTAGGCAGCTGAATCTGACTTCAAGTTAATCTTGGTTTATAAAAAATAATGTGACTGGCACGCATACAATAAGGAACCAGGTTACACTGTCTACTGACAATTTCGTCATAATTTAATCCCCTTCAGTTAGTATCTATATTTTCTTCAGATGAAAATGATTTTTAATGGACTATTATTTTGACTACATGTAATAAAAACAGGTGTGCGTTTTGTAAACATATTGGCAGCTGTTTTTGGGTTGTTGAAGTGGGCCAGGTCGCTTCACCATGTCGAGAGCTTGGAACTATAAGGTTCTATCTGCAAAAAATATGATTCTGAGATAATTGGCTTTAAAGTTCCGAACCCTAATCAGTTTGAATGATGTCAGCAATTTTTATTGTGTATTCTTTTGAACTTAACAACATGAATTGGGTATCTAGAGTACTATATAAGTAGAGAACATGGAACAGAACAAGGCTATATCAATAACAACATTTTGGAGAGACAAAAATGCAGATAGAACCTTATAGTCCCAATCTAATCATCAGAAAGGAGAGAGGTGAAAGTTTGTCCTTTAATTTGCTGAATGTTTTCTATTTTGTGTCAAACATCTTATCGGTGGTGTGTGAGTGGCACTTGGGGTCCGATGTTGACAGTCAGAACAATAGGAAACATAATTTTCCTCATTAGTTAGACAATCAGACTACCGCCGATCATCCACTCAAACACCTGCTCCCACAGCTTGACTGTGTCACACGCATTGTACGCACACGCACACACACATGCACATTCACACACACACACACACACACACACACACACACACACACACACACACACACACACACACACACACACACACACACACACACACACACACACACACACACACACACAGACAAACAGACAGACACACACGCACACACACACGCACACACACACTCAATCCACCCAAGAGGTTGTGTTGGGGCAATACTGGAGGTTTTACAAGGCCTAGTCTCTAAGGATTAAACCATTTATAGACGTTCTATGTAGTTTCCTTTTTTGCAAAGAAAGAATAATCTATTATATTGGACATAATATGTTGATAGAATAATACATTTTGTGTTACTTTTCTGTTACAACAGGCTGCTGATGGAATGTATGGACACAAAGGCACATTTATCATATAACCTGGTGGGAAGAAAGTGGAATTGCACAGTGAATACCACAAACAGATACACACAATAGATGCATCCACTCCCATACAAATACTGTAGATAGTGTAAATAGACACACACTCAAATACTGCACATATAGAATACACACACACACACATACACATACCCCCACATACAGAATGAAAGACTCAAAGATATACACACACACACACACACACACACACACACAGAGCGTGTGAAGCAGGAAGCGTTTTTTTAGGAGGACAGCTCCTCCTCCACGGTGTCCCATTCCCAGGGTCAGGAATCATCTGCTGTTTAGGAAATGGCCGTTCCAGAGAGGCAACACAACGTTTGTCGCGTGCATACAGACTTCAGTTTTATTCTCTGTTGTAGAGTGGCTGATCACACCTTCAGTCATTTTTTTACAATTATCTTTTTGTGTATGTGTACTTTTTGTTTTTACAGACATAACTAGACAGTAGGCGTTAATGTTTTTACAGACATAACTAGACAATAGACTTTACTGTTTTTACAGACATAACTAGACAGTAGACGTTACTGTTTTTACAGACATAACTAGACAGTAGACGTTACTGTTTTTACAGACATAACTAGACAGTAGACGTTACTGTTTTTACAGTAGACATAACTAGACAGTAGACGTTACTGTTTTTACAGTAGACATAACTAGATAGTAGACGTTACTGTAAGCACTGTAACCTTTGAATCTAGGATTAAAGGGTTTTACTACTGTAAGATATTATATGACCAGACAACAAGATTGTGTTGTCAGTGTGAAAACGTGGATAGTAGGATGACAGATCCTCTCATAGATCAACAGCATTAGATAGTAGAGATATGCTGCTAACTTACTGTGCACTGTCTGGGCAGCTCATAAAGAGACTTTATGAAGCCTATCACCTGTTGTCCACCTACAGTACTGTATCACCAACCAACCACTATGTGTATTGGAGGCTGTGCTAGCTGCAGCTTGGCTGTCTCCCCAAGCCTTTCCTCCCTCCCCTGCCCTGGCCTACCCTACCTTACAACAAGCAGCAGCAATCCTGGCATCTCCCTATCTCCACTACAGGAAGGTGCACTCTGAACTGAGACACAATATTTACTACAGCTCAAATGGTTGCATGAAACTGTGTTTTGTCCCAATACAATAATATGCTGAGGCAAAAACACTGTACATTGTCGTCTGATGTAATTGTATTTGTATACTGTTATGAGATGGGGGGAAGGTTATTGTTAGGACATAGACAAATACACTACCACGCACTTCCACACCTCATCCCCAGGGGGCAGCAGCAACGTGGTTCAAATGCTCAGCCAGGAAGTCTTGTGTAGCCTTTTTAAGTGTTGATTGGGCAGAGGTGCAAGGAAACGAGATTGAGACAGCTTGCAGAGCCGTTAGTTTTTCTTGGTGTGCAAAGCTGTCATCAAGGCAAAGGGTGGCTACTTTGAAGAATCTCAAATATAAAATATATTTTGATTTGTTTAACCCTTTTTTGGTTACTACATGATTCCATATGTGTTATTTCATAGTTTTGATGTCTTCACTATTATTCTACAATGTAGAAAATAGTTTTAAAAAATAAAGAAAAACCCTGGAGTAGGTGTGTCCAAACTTTTGACTGGTACTCTATGTATTTGTGAAGTCCGCCCAGAACCATAGACTTCAACATTACTATGAATTGTGTTGTCATGACTCATAAATTGCTACCACTATCCCGGATAGCCTCCAGAGTATTTGAAAATAATGTATTATATATATATGACCCCCATGGTCATTGAACAACAGTGGGATGGTTCAAAAGAAATGGACAGAACATAAGTAACGCTTTACTTAATTGCATTTATTGGTTTGATGATATTACAATAAAATATATTTAAAGAAAAAAATATGTTTTGATTGTTTCTGTTTGAAAAGCATTCAAATTGCTGACAGAGGTAACAAAGTGGACCATCATAGACAGTTTGAGAATGAGGACTTCAACAGAGCTCATCACTTCACCAAAACAACCAAGACTGGGACCTCACAGAATAAGGTTAATCTCAACAGAAGCAAAAACAACATACAGGGAACCAATTGCACAATAAGCATCTTCAACCTTAAGAAATAGAAAAGTCTGTGTGTTGAAACATCTGAGCTTGGTATTGCTCACTGTGTTATTTCTTTTTGTGATTCACAATATAAATGTACTGTACAGAGAGGCACAGATGACAGTCATTTCAGTTACAAAATAGTCCATATATTCACAGACAGACAGGCCAGGGTTTTCTTACGGCAGGTGTTCTGATTGTCTAGAAGAAGTTAAAACAGCCAACCCTGCCATGTCTGTATAAGAGAGACAATTCCAACATGTTGCTTCACTATGTGCTGAAATTACGCAACGGATATGTGGGTGGTACATGTTGTTGTTGTTGATGTTGATTTCATTCCTTGCCGTCCTGATACTTAATGTTTTGTGCTTCATCTGCCAATTTCCCTGCCATTTCTAAAGTACGATAAGTCTATTTTCTCTTTACACTTGAATCCAACTGGATTTCCCTAGCTCTCCTTCAAGTTTACCTTGAAAAGAAAAAACATCCATACATTGCCAATTGCATGTTTTCCTTCATTCTGCGAGTACAAAAGGACTGGAGCACATCCACAGTGCACGACCCCCTATCCTTGACCTGGCTCTGTAGCAACGGTGGACAGAAGAGGCTAGAGGACTTATACCGTAAAGCTTACCAAGAACATTCATTTTTAACACATCTACTTAATAAGAGATTGCTTTCTTTGTTGTTCATTTTTCTGTCCACACATGTGGGTGTCTCTTTCTGGGGCCGTCCTCCATTAATCTGTTAATAAGAGATGGATGCAGCCAAAGATGGCTTCCTTTCATTCTCTCCCACACATCAGCGCCACATTCAGGGCTCTCTCCCTCCCTCTCTCTTACTCCATCTCTTCCCCCCTCCCCCTCCCCCTCCCCCTCTCTCCTCTGTATCTTTCTCTCTTTCTACCACTTTAAGTCGATCTCTCATTGGAGTAACAGACTGTCATTAAACTGAATGAGTATGCTTATGTAATTATTGTAAACATATGTGTAGTTAATATATTAGAATATCAATATCTAATAGAAAAAAACGATATTGAACATAACATATTTTTCACATACCACATTTTTTGGTAAAGTTGGTGACAATTTACAAAGGAACAAGTGCTCTAATAAATGTAGTGCTTACACTATATTTGAAAGGCTAAGACAAGTCTGAATAACAGGGGTTATAGTGTAGACCTCACTCTGCTTAATTCAACAAAACGTAAAAGTTACATTTATTACATACAGTATCATAACATAGCTTCTTTGTACATTTTATAACTATGTACATTTAAAGGACTGCCAAAACAATGAGTCCATATTCTGTTTACACACACCTTGGACAGAGGGGCTACTCACGCATGCATGCACGCACACAAACACACATCATTTTCTCCTAGCTTTAATCATAAATCCCCTCTTTGCTTCCACAGCATTAGTCCCACAGACAGTCTGTTGGTGTGTAGTGGTGGTAGCGTGGTGCTCATATACAGTCCTTCTTGGCATGCAGCATCTCGATGAGAAGGTTGTTGCAGGGCACCTCCCCACTCAGGTGTTTGTAGCACAGGTAGTCCTCTGCCTGAGTGCTGAGGGCACGCAGCTCTGGCAGACGTAACACCAGCTGGCTGAACTTGTCCAGGTACAGGGGGTAGGTGCACAGAGTGTACTCCAGCAGAGCCCCATTCACCTGCTCCTGAACACTCTCCACAAACACCTGGTTCTCCAACAGCTTCACATCTGGACAGGGACATAGGAAAGAGCTTTAAGGGGGATTATATTACTCTGTAGATGATCACATAAATGGGATAATATTGATATATTTATTTGAAACTGTTCCTCAAATCCCTGTGTTAAGGCTCAGCTTGTGGAGATCAAGTGTAGGCCTAAGCTTTAGCATTGACATTGCATCAGTTTATTACTAATATTCCATTTCTGGTACATTGGATCTGTACAGTGTGCAGCAGGGTTGTGTGTGTGTGTGTGTGTGTGTGTGTGTGTGTGTGTGTGTGTGTGTGTGTGTGTGTGTGTGTGACAATAGCTAGACCCTATAATGGACTTCTATTCAGCATCAGCTGAGTCCTGCCAGGAGAGCCATTCACACAGTAATTAAATATTTGTAATATTTTTTTCAAACCGCTTAAGGGCAACTAAATTGCCCTGATAAACCTGACTCATTGATTGAAAGATGAGGGAGAGAGAGAGAATGAAACAGACAGCGGAGATGGCAAATATTTTCTGCCTGTGACGAGTGCTCTCATTATTCTAAAGCCTTTTATTCCCAGCTCGCTGGCGCTAAATAGCAGTCGCTTAAGGGAATCTGGGCAACTGTCGTCTATACACACTCCATATGTAGAAGCCACTGCATGAATGTCAGTCAGATTATTGAATGATAGGCCCATCCATTATGGTTCCATTGAATGCTATTAAAGAATAATGGGTGAGATTGTCTTCTTTGTTAATATTGCCTTTTGACAAGGCCCTACATTTAATTAAGTGAGTATACCTGAAAATAAAGGATTGGTTCAGACAACAGTTGTAACCTTCTGGATAAATAAACATATATCAATGGCTGTGACATTTCCATTAAAAATGTCACTTCTGCCTTTCAAAATAAATGGGACAGCGAGGGTTGTCAACTAAAACCTATTTCCAACAAAAAGTTTGAAAAAGTTATTTGTCCATTCTTAAGTACTACACGTCACTGGGTTATACAAACCACAGCTACAATACAAAAAAGTGTGAAGAAGTACCTCAAACCTAATCAAATTCAGATCTTTGAAAGGCCATAGTAATGTTACATGGTCTATCACAAATCTATTCCATTCATGAGCTAGCTGTAATGAGCTATACATGAGCTGTATGTATGCATGCATGACTGTAAGTCGCTTTGGATAAAAGTGTCTGCTAAGTGGCATATATTATATACATATTATATACATATTATAAGACTAATAATCACCATCTAATGTGGTACAGCATACAGTGTGTATAGTGTATGTCCATGTGGTCTACTCACTGGGATTGAAGAGGAGGAGGAACTTGATGCAGGCAACCTCTCTCCTGTCTAACTTCAGGGCCAGCAGCCTCCCAGCCAGCTCCTGTCCTCTCTGGACCAGGCCTGACAGACTCACTCCTGCCTGGGACCCCATGGATGACAGATCCATCTGCAACACAACACAGGAGGACAACATTATGTTTTATTGTATATACAGGCTTTAAAGGGCAATTCTGGCACTTTTCAACCTCATATATATTTTCTCCAGCACCGAACCAGTAAAAACAGCGCATTTCTATGATCTGTGGTTCAAAAGATAAGAAGAAAGATCCTAAACAATGCTTCTCTGTGACAGGTAGCCTAGCGGTTAAGAGTGTTGGGCCAGTAACCGAAAGATCCCTGGTTCAAAACCCAGAGCCGACTAAATGAAAAATCTGTCTATGTGCCCTTGAGCAAGGTACTTAACCTTAATTGCTCCTGTAAGTCGCTCTGGATAAGAAACTCTGCTAAATGACTCAAATGTAAATGTACATGAAAGGGTGGAATTAAAAGTGAGAAAAACGGTGTTTTTCAAAACAGAGGGGGGGTATTTTCTTACTCCCCACATCACCGCAAATCTCATAGTGTTAGAAAATCACTGTTTTTGATGTCATTGGGTAGAACTTTTTTACTTTATGTTTTTTTCTACAAAACGTAGAAATGCGCTGTTTTCACATATGTAGACACTGGTATTGTGCTGGAGATAATGAAAATGAGGTTGAAAAGTGGTGGAGTTGCCACCACTTCAACCTGAATTACAGTACAGTACAGCTTCAATACATGTTCATAGATGCCATACATTGAGTCTGCAGTAGCTTCTCACCACCTTCTAAATTAATGCGATTGGAATTTTATGTAACATATTGGACGTTAAATCTTCCAATTCCCACAGTAACTTCTAGAATTATACAGTGTAACTTTTAAGCCCCTCTTCCTCCTGTTCCCATAAACCTAGTACAGTATGTAGATAAAAATACCCTGTTTTCCATTGCACTCTTTATGAGAAAAAAAGAACACGATTTAAACAAGAAGCAACTAAAAACAAGCGGCCATCTTTCCCCTCTCCTCCCCAAACCCAGGAGTCAGTTACAGGCTGCAGAGACAAGCTGATGGTTGTTTTTTCCTGTTCTGTTCTGCATCTTCCAAACACGACCAAATGTAAAAGAACAAGAGCAGGCATCAGAAAGTGTTCACACTCTTTGAATTTTTTTCACTTTTTGTTGTGTTACAAATTGGGATTAAAATGGATTTCATTGTCTCTTTTTTTCAACGATCTACACAAAATACTCTGTAGGGTCAAAGTGAAAGAAAAATTCGACTTAAAAAAAAAAGATGAATGTAAAATAAAACAGAGTAAATACATGCTAGAATCACCTTTGGCAGCAATTATAGCTGTGAGTTTCATTGGGTAAGTCTCTAAGAGCTTTGCACACCTGGATTGTACAATATTATTATTCTTTTTTAAACTCTTCAAGCACTGTCAAGTTGGTTGTTGATCATTGCTAGACATCCATTTTCAAGCCTTGCCATAGATTTTCAAGCCGATTTAAGACAAAACTGTAACTAGGCCACTCAGGAACATTCAATGTCGTCTTGGTAAGCAACTCCAGTGTATATTTGGCCTTGAGTTTGAGGTTATTGTCCTGCTGAAAGGTGAATTTGTCTCCCAATGTCTGCTGGAAAGCAGACTGAACCAGGTTTTCCTCTAGGATTTTGTCTGTGCTTAGCTCTATTCCATTTATTTATATCCTAAAAAAAAACTCCCTAGTCCTTGCCGATGACGAGCTGATCCAAACCATGCTGCAGCCACCACCATGCTTGAAAATATGAATAGTGGTACTCAGTGATGTGTTGAGTTGGATTTTCCCCAAACATAACGCTTTGTATTAAGGACAAAAAGTTCATTTCTTTGGCAAAAAATGTTTCAGTATTACTTTAGTGCCTTATTGCAAACAGGATGCTGGTTTTTGAATATTTGCATTCTGTACAGACTTCCTTCTTTTAACTCTGTCATTTAGGTTAGTATTGTTGAGTAACTATAATGTTGTTGATCCGTCCTCAGTTTTCTCCTATCACAGCCATTAAACTCTGTAACTGTTTTAAAATCACCTCATGGTGAAATCTCTGAGCGGTTTCCTTCCTCTCCGGCAACTGAGTTAGGAAGGACGCCTATATCTTTGTAGTGACTGGGTGTATTGATACACCATCCAAAGTGTAATTGATAACTTCACCATGCTCAATGGGATATTCAGTGTCTGCTTTTTTTATTTGTACCAATCTACCAATAGGTGCTATTCTTTGCAAGACATTGGAAAACCTCCCTGGTCTTTGTGGTTGAATCTGTGCTTGAAATCCACTACTCGACTGAGGGACCTTACAGATGTGGGGTACTGAGATGGGGTAATCATTCAAAAATCATGTTAACCACTATTATTGCACACAGAGTTAGTCCATGGAACTTATTATGTGACTTGTTAAGCACATTTTTACTCCTGAACGTATTTAGGCTTGCCATAACAAAGGGGTTGAGTACTTATTGACTCAAGACATTTCAGCTTTAAATGTTTTATCAATTTCTAAAAACAAAATTCCACTTTGACGTTGTAGGGTATTGTGTGTAAATCAGTGGCATAAAATCTCAATCCATCTTAAATTCAGTCTGTAACTTAACAAAATGTGGAAAAAGTCAAGGCGTGGGAATACCTTTTGAAGGCACTGTACATATCAAATCAAATCAAATTTTATTTGCCACATGCGCCGAATACAACAGGTGTAGACATTACAGTGAAATGCTTACTTACAAGCCCTTAACCAACAATGCAGTTTAAAAAAAAGTAAAAAGTAAAAAAGTGTTAAGTAAAATTCTTTAAAGCAAATAACTAAAGAGCAGCAGTAAAGTGAAATAACAGTAGGGAGGCTATGTACAGGGGGTACCGGTACAGAGTCAATGTGCGGGGGCATCGGCTAGTCGAAGTAATTGAGGTAATATGTACATGTGGGTAGAGTTAAAGTGACTATGCATAAATAATAAACAGAGTAGCAGCAGCGTAAAAGAGGGGGGATGGGGTGGGGTGGGGGGGCAGTGCAAATAGTCTGGATATCCATGATTAGCTGTTCAGGAGTCTTATGGCTTGGGGGTAGAAGCTGTTGAGAAGCCTTTTGGACCTAGACTTGGCGTTCCGGTACCGCTTGCCGTGCGGTAGCAGAGAGAACAGTCTATGACTAGGGTGGCTGGAGTATTTTTTAGGGCCTTCCTCTGACATCACCTGGTATAGAGGTCCTGGATGGCAGGAAGCTTTGCCCCAGTGATGTACTGGGCCGTACGCACTACCCTCTGTAGTGCCTTGCGGTCAGAGGCCGAGCAATTGCCATACCAGGCGGTGATGCAACCAGTCAGGATGCTCTCGATGGTGCAGCTGTAGAACTTTTTGAGGATCTGAGGACCCATGTCAAATCTTTTCAGTCTCCTGAGGGGGAATAGGCTTTGTCGTGCCCTCTTCACGACTGTCTTGGTGTGTTTGGACCATGTTAGTTTGTTGGTGATGTGGACACCAAGGAACTTGAAGCTCTCAACCTGTTCCACTACAGCCCTGTCGATGAGAATGGGGGCGTGCTCAGTCCTCTTTTTTCCCCTGTAGTTCACAATCATCTCCTTTGTCTTGATCACGTTGAGGGAGAGGTTGTTATCCTGGCACCACACGGCCAGGTCTCTGACCTCCTCCCTATTGGCTGTCTCATCGTTGTTGGTGATCAGGCATACCACTGTTGTGTCGTCGGCAAACTTAATGATGGTGTTGGAGTCATGCCTGGCCATGCAGTCATGGGTGAACAGGGAGTACAGGAGGGGACTGAGCACGCACCCCTGATGTGCCCCCGTGTTGAGGATCAGCGTGACAGATGTGTTGTTACCTACCCTTACCACCTGGGGGTGGCCCGTCAGGAAGTCCAGGATCCAGCTGCAGAGGGAGGTGTTTAGTCCCAGGATCCTTAGCTTAGTGATGAGCTTTGAGGGCACTATGGTGTTGAACGCTGAGCTGTAGTCAATGAATAGCATTCTCACGTAGGTGTTCCTCTTGTCCAGGTGGGAAAGGGCAGTGTGGAGTGCAAAAGAGATTGCATCATCTGTGGATCTGTTGGGGCGGTATGCTAATTGGAGTGGGTCTAGTGTTTCTGGGATAATGGTGTTGATGTGAGCCATGGCTACAGGCTCTTCACGGCTACAGACGTGAGTGCTACGGATCGGTAGTCATTTAGGCAGGTTATCTTAGTGTCCTTGGGCACAGGGACTTTGGTGGTCTGCTTGAAACATGTTGGTATTACAGACTCAGTCAGGGACATGTTGAAAATGTCAGTGAAGACAATTGCCAGTTGGTCAGCGCATGCTCGGAGTACACGTCCTAGTAATCCGTCTGGCCCTGCGGCCTTGTGAATGTTGACCTGATCGGCTACGGAGAGCGTGATCACATAGTCATCCGGAACAGCTGATGCTCTCATGCATGCCTCAGTGTTGCTTGCCTCGAAGCGAGCATAGAAGTGATTTTGCTCATCTGGTAGGCTTGTGTCACTGGGCAGCTCGCGGCTGTGCTTCCCTTTGTAGTCTGTAATAGTTTTCAAGCCCTGCCACATCCGACGAGCGTCAGAGCCGGTGTAATACGATTCAATCTTAGTCCTGTATTGACTCTTTGCCTGTTTGATGGTTCGTCGGAGGGCATAGCGGGATTTCTTATATGCATCCGGGTTAGAGTCCCGCTCCTTGAAAGCAGCTCTACCCTTTAGCTCAGTGCGGATGTTGCCTGTAATCCATGGCTTCCGGTTGGGGTACGTACGTATGGTCACTGTGGGGACGACGTCATCAATGCACTTATTGATGAAGCCAGTGACTGATGTGGTGTACTCCTCAATGCTATCTGAAGAATCCTGGAAAATATTCCAGTCTGTGCTAGCAAAACAGTCCTTTAGCTTAGCATCTGCGTCATCTGACCACTTTTTTATTAACCGAGTCACTGGTGCTTCCTGCTTTAGTTTTTGCTTATAAGCAGGAATCAGGAGGATAGAATTATGGTCAGATTTGCCAAATGGAGGGCGAGGGAGAGCTTTGTTTGCGTCTCTGTGTGTGGAGTAAAGGTGGTCTAGAGTTTTTTTTCCTCTGGTTGCACATTTAACATGCTGGTAGAAATTAGTTTCCCTGCATTAAAGTCGCCGGCCACTAGGAGCGCTGCCTCTGGATGAGCGTTTTCCTGTTTACTTATGGCCTTATACAGCTCATTGAGTGCAATCTTAGTTCCAGCATCGGTTTGTGGTGGTAGATAGACAGCTACGAAAAATATAGATGAAAACTCTCTTGGTAAATAGTGTGGTCTACAGCTTGTCATGAGATACTATACCTCCGGCGAGCAAAACCTAGAGAATTCCTTAGTGTTAGATTTTATGCACCAGCTGTTGTTTACAAATATACACAGACCGCCACCCCTTGTCTTACCAGAGTCAGCTGTTCTATCCTGACGATGTAGCGTATATCCCGCCAGCTGTATGTTATCAATGTCGTCGTTCAGCCATGACTCGGTGAAACATAAGATATTACAGTTTTTAATGTCCCGTTGGTAGGATAACCTTTATCGTAGGTCGTCCAATTTGTTTTCAAATGATTGAACATTGGCTAATAGGATTGATGGAAGAGGCAGTTTACTCACTCGCCGTCGGATCCTTACAAGGCACCCCGACCTATGTCCACGATATCTCTGTCTCTTTCTCATGCGAATGATGGGGATTTGGGCCTTGTCGGGTGTCTGTAGGATATCCTTCGCGTCCGACTCGTTGAAGAAAAAATCTTCGTCCAATACGAGGTGAGTAATCGCTGTCCTGATATCCAGAAACTCTTTTTGGTCATAAGAGACGGTGGCAGAAACATTATGTACAGAATAAATTACAAATAACGCAAAAAAATCACATAATAGTACAATTGGTTAGAGGGCTGTAAAACGGCAGCCATCTTCTCCGGCGCCATAATTACTAATCTATATCTGAGCATACAAAACATTAGGAACACCCTTTTGCCCTCAGGTGTCGAAAGCGTTCCACAGGGATGCTAGCCCATGTTGACTCCAATGCTTCCCACAGTTGTGTCAAGTTGGCTGGATGTCCTTTGGGGGTGGACCATTCTTGATACACATGGGAAACTGTTGAGTGTGAAAAACCCAGTGGTGTAAAGTACTTAAGTAAAATTACTTTAAAGTACTACTTAAGTCGTTTTTTGGGGTATCTGTACTTTACTATTTATATTTTGGACAACTTTTACTTTTACGTCACTACATTCCTAAAGAAAATTATGTACATTTTACTCCATACATTTTCCCTGACACCCAAAAGTACTCGTTACATTTTTTATGCTTAGCAGGACAGGAAAACACTCCAATTCACGCACTAATCAAGAGAACATCCCTGGTAATCCCTACTGCCTCTGATCTGGCGGACTCACTGACTCAAGAAACACAAATGCTTCATTTGTAAATTATGTCTGAGTGTTGGAGTGTGCCCCTGACTATCCGTAAATTAAAAAGATTTGCTTAATATAAGGAATTTGAAATGATTTATACTTTTACTTTTACTTTTGATACTTAAGTATATTTTAGCAATTAGATTTACTTTTGATACATAAGTATATTTAAAACCAAATACTTTTTAGACTTTTACTCAAGTAGTATTTTACTGGGCGATTTTCACTTTTACTTGAGTCATTTTCTATTAAGGTATCTTTACTTTTACTCAAGTATGACATTTGGGTACTTTTTCCACCACTGGAAAAACCCAGGAGCGTTGCCGTTCTTGACACACTCAAACCGGTGCGCCTGACACCTACTACCATACCCTGTTCAAAGGCACTTAAACCTTTTGTTTTGCCCATTCACCCTCTGAATGGCACACATACACAATTCATATCGCAATTGTTTCAAGGCTTAAAAATCCTTATTTAACCTGTCTCCTCCCCTTCATCTACACCAATTGAACTGGATTTAACAAGTGACATCAATAAGGGATCATACAGTAGCTTTCACCTGGATTCACCTGGTCAGTCTATGTCATGGAAAGAGCACTCAGTGTAGTCCCACTTTATATTATAATAATATGCCATTTAGCAGACGCTTTTATCCAAACAACTTACAGTCATGTGTGCATACATTTTTACGTATGGGTGGTCGTGGGGATCGAACCCACTACCCTGGCGTTACAAGCGCCATGATCTACCAATTGAGCTACAGAGGACCACAGACATTATGTCACTAAAATAATGTGTGGTAATTACATTGGTACAGCGTAAAAACAGTAATTACTATATAGATATACATTATTGCAACAACAACAAAAAATACGTATTGCTATCCGTAGAGGTTATGTATCTGTAATGACTACATGATGAATGCATGTGTGTGTGTGTGTGTGACTGTATGTATGTCTGGTATTCATCAATGTATGAGCATTGTATTAATTTTATGTTGGAACTGCGAGGCTGCTTACCTCCTGGCCAGTAACCAGCAGCAGGCTGCTCTCCTTCCCATGTTGCACTTGTCTGAAGACATGGTCCAGGACCAGCAGCTCAGACCAGCAGTTTTGAAGAAGCTTCATCTGGTCCCCCACCTCGAAGAAGAAATAGAAAACAACAGGTCACATGAAAGCTCAAACTCATTCCACACAGCCAAACATAGGAGTAGTGAAGAACCAATCTAGTGTCAAACCCAATGTCAAATAAAACAGCCTACACTGATATTACAATCTCAAAGAGGCATAGGGCTGTTGCGGTGACCGTATTACTGCCACACCGGCGGTCACAAGTCATGAAAAAGTCAAATTCCATGTGACCATTTTGTCACGGTAATTAGGCTTCTCCAAGCTCTGATGCTGCTGATGGTCATCAGTAGCCTACCAAACTTGCTAACTGCCTGGTACTCAGCACTCTATTGTCCCTCTAATCACTCTGACATCAATACAAATGTTTTCGAAAATATAATCAAACACTTCATGAGAGCCCATGAGCTCATGTTGCGCAACATTTCAATAGGCTACAGTGAGGGAAAAAAGTATTTGATCCCCTACTGATTTTGTAAGTTTGCCCACTGACAAAGACATGATCAGTCTATAATTTTAATGGTAGGTTTATTTGAACAGTGAAAGACAGAATAACAACAAAAAAATCCTGAAAAACGCATGTCAAAAATGTTATAAATTGATTTGCATTTATAATGAGGGAAATAAGTATTTGACCCCTCTGCAAAACATTACTTAGTGGCAATTTACATTTTAGTCATTTAGCAGACGCTCTTATCCAGAGTGAGTGCATACCTTTTTTTGGTTTTGTTTTTCATACTGGCCCCCCGTGGGAAATGAACCCACAACCCTGGCGTTGCAAGCACCATGCTCTACCAACTGAGCTACAGGGGACTACAATCACAGAGGTCAGACGTTTCTTATAGTTGGCCACCAGGTTTGCACACATCTCAGGAGGGATTTTGTCCCACTCCTCTTTGCAGATCTTCTCCAAGTCATTAAGGTTTCGAGGCTGACGTTTGGCAACTCGAACCTTCAGCTCCCTCCACAGATTTTCTATGGGATTAAGGTCTGGAGACTGGCTAGGCCACTCCAGGACCTTAATGTGCTTCTTCTTGAGCCACTCCTTTGTTGCCTTGGCCGTGTGTTTTGGGTCATTGTCATGCTGGAATACCCATCCACGACCCATTTTCAATGCCCTGGCTGAGGGAAGGAGGTTCTCACCCAAGATTTGACGATACATGGCCCCGTCCATCGTCCCTTTGATGCGGTGAAGTTGTCCTGTCCCCTTAGCAGAAAAACACCCCCAAAGCATAATGTTTCTACCTCCATGTTTGACGGTGGGGATGGTGTTCTTGGGGTCATAGGCAGCATTCCTCCTCCTCCAAACACGGTGAGTTGAGTTCATGCCAAAGAGCTCGATTTTAGTCTCATCTGACCACAACACTTTCACCCAGTTCTCCTCTGAATCATTCAGATGTTCATTGGCAAACTTCAGACGGGCTTGTATATGTGCTTTCTTGAGCAGGGGGACCTTGCAGGCGCTGCAGGATTTCAGTCCTTCACGGCATAGTGTGTTACCAATTGTTTTCTTGGTGACTATGGTCCCAGCTGCCTTGAGATCATTGACAAGATCCTCCCGTGTAGTTCTGGGATGATTCCTCACCATTCTCATGATCATTGCAACTCCACGAGGTGAGATCTTGCATGGAGCCCCAGGCAGAGGGAGATTGACAGTTATTTTGTGTTTCTTCCATTTGCGAATAATCGCACCAACTGTTGTCACCTTCTCACCAAGCTGCTTGGCGATGGTCTTGTAGCCCATGCCAGCCTTGTGTAGGTCTACAATCTTGTCCCTGACATCCTTGGAGAGCTCTTTGGTCTTGGCCATGGTGGAGAGTTTGGAATCTGATTGATTGATTGCTTCTGTGGACAGGTGTCTTTTATACAGGTAACAAACTGAGATTAGGAGCACTCCCTTTAAGAGTGTGCTCCTAATCTCAGCTCGTTACTTGTATAAAAGACACCTGGGAGCCAGAAATCTTCCTGATTGAGAGGGGGTCAAATACTTATTTCCCTCATTAAAATGCAAATCAATTTATAACATTTTTGACATGCGTTTTTCAGGATTGTTTTGTTGTTATTCTGTCTCTCACTGTTCAAATAAACCTACCATTAAAATTATAGACTGATCATTTCTTTGTCAGTGGGCAAACGTACAAAATCAGCAGGGGATCAAATACTTTTTTCCCTCACTGTATGCAATTGCGCGAGAAAAGTAATGGACTCTACTGCTTTCTATGGTCTAGGCCTACTATATTTATTTTTCAACTTTCCTAATATTATGCACATTGCTTATATTTACAACAGGAGTATAGCCTACCTGGCTGGCATGAAAATTAACCACGGGGAAAAGCGTCCTCCATTCGCTATTTAAGTGCATAGATGACATGTATTTTTTCCGCTGCCCCTGTTTCGATACAGGTGCATGATAATGGTTCATTCTAAATCAAACAAATTTCACACAATTAAGATGTAGTATATGTCAAGACAAGATTAAATCAAGAATAGTCTGATTGGTGACAATATAAGCCTATCACTTGTGAATTCTATAAGAAACAATGCCTTGTTTTTGCAACTTTGTCGAATCATAGTCGCACACCTCATGTAGACTAGCCCATAGGCCTATATGTTTTAATAAGGTTTGTATCACAACTAAAGTGGCCAAATAACTTCTTAAAATTAAGCACATTAATCAGCTTTACAAGGGGTGTAGAGCCTAACTGGCATACATAAGCAGCGCGTGAGTTTCAAGTTTGGGGAAGATAATTTTCACCATAAAAATGCACCTTTATAATAAAAGCATTACATGCATAATTGCATTTGCGGTCACTTTTGATAATGGTGTTTTCCTCTAATGGAACATTTGCGCTTACTACCATGTGTGCATTGCTGCGCTTATAATGTGAAGAAATAGCCTAATAGTTTATCAACATTTTAAGCTAAATGTTCTGATCCATTGTGTCATCCACATTGCGTAAAGGTTTTTTAATACTAGTGGTTGTATTAATTAGGGATCTATCGCATCCCACAACTGTCCCAGACTATGTTTGGAATATGTATTTCTCACACAGAATAGAATAGGTTGACCTTTGTACTGTGGGGGATAGTAGATTGACATAGGCTAGTGCTTTTGCTGTTCGTAAGGCCTACTCATCTTGTTGGCTGCCAAAAAGTAAATGTGGACAGTTCTTCCAATATCTTCAATATGCACCTCGGAATTGGATAAGGACACGCGCAGTTGCGTCACCGATGTGTCTGTCTTCACTTGTAGCCTGTGAGAAAGACCCGATCACGTGATGGAGAACGCAGCACTCAGGGAGAAGAGCTCAACGGCAACTGGCCGCGAAAGGCATGGATTTTTTTGGGGGTACATTACGGCCACACAAAGGGGATGCCGCCGTGAAATGCTTGTCAAATTGTGAATGAGTGACTGATGTAGTGTATACAGCCTGCACAAAAAACAAAGCAGAGCTCATGCCTTTCAAGCGACTTTTTTCAAATCATCATTAGTCGCATCATGCAGCATTACAATGTATTAAAAATCAAAACATATAGCCTAACATTTGTAGAACAACTAAAGTTACATTAATAACTCTAAATTAAGCATATAGGAATACCTGTTTCTTCGTTAACCGCTCAACACAGAATAGCCGCATGTGCGCACTTCCTCAAATCGTTTGGAGAAAATATCCTTTCTATTTTATTCAGCTTTGTTCAATTGTATTCTTCATACTATAAAATAATGCCACGGAATTCTAAGCAAATCTTGTCTGCTAAATGAACTAGTGTAGCCCACAGCCATTTGGCATAGCCAGATCAGGACCTAACATAAGGACAACTCAGAGTATGCTATTCTGTTCTTCTGAAATATACTACATTTTCTTCATATTATGCTTCTTTAGACGTGTCTGGATTTATTGTGAAGGTGTAGGCTATATTACATGGATTTATTAGACTTTTTTAAATGTAGATGTTGCAAAGGTCAGCATCAGTGGCTTGTAGGCTATGTATGGAAGCCAGGAGATGCAAATGTGCATATGTTAATTAACGGTCAATTACCGTGAGACCGACAGTTATTTGCTTGACAATCACCGTCTGATGAAATTTCATGACCGCCACAGCGCTAAGCAGGCATCAATCTAACATCAACCCCTTTAAAAGCTAACATCCACATGGGATAGTGTGGTCCCACCTGAGACACAAATAGCTACATGGATAGATACATTGGGTGACTATAAAACCCAGAGAGGACGGGTCATTGTGCCATATTTCCAGCGTCTGGGGCTGGTGTCAGTGTCTTGCGCATCATCACGTTGTATTTACGAGCCACAGAGATGACCTCTTCCACCTCCTCACCGCTCCCTGTCCTCCGTCACCCCCCTTGCTCCCACCCATTAAGGCAGATGGGAGGGAGGGGGGGTGATTGGGTGCTCCTCATTGCTAGCACATATTACTCTGGGTGTCGAAGGACAACACTGTCAGTAATTCTGCAGCTGGTGACAGAGAGTGTTGCTGTAGCCCCCTAACAGCACCAGGACACACATTCATCTGGCATGGGGATGACAGAATTACTACAACGTGAATGGAACTATATATCTGTCCAGAGGAGAAGTTCAATCTTGCTCCCAGTCGGAGCTACAGGACCAACACCCAACATCTTGATTCATCATACAGTACTTCTTCTCAAGGAGAATTCGGCACATAGACACAACATTTCACACACACACACACACACACACACACACACACACACACTCACATACACACAGTGAACGTTCAGTCAAGGGACAATCAGTCTTGTCCCCCCTGGCTGGCAGAAACAGGAAAGCATGAACCTGCCTCACTCAGTGCCATTCCATAACTGTCATAATTTGGTTTTGAGACCAATACAGATGTTCTGGAGATCAGACGGACAGGTCTAAAACCATCAAACAATAAATATATATCTTTCTTTTCATCATCATTTAGAAAAGGGCTGCTACAATGCACCACCCCTGCATGCATATAATTATGTTTGATCATATGCTACAGGTATGTCAAAGTCAGATACTGCATGCGAAAACTCAAGTAATGGCAGCATCTGACACAAACATACTGGCAATGCCCAAGGTAAATTTAGCAGATGATAGCTCCATTTTTCCTGTGCAAATATGAACAATGAGAGACAAAATACTGGGCCGTGGAGAGAGAGCTGACATTCCCCTGTTATCGTCTGGATGGAATGTAATTACTCAGAGAAAGATAGCTCTTTCTGCAGGAGGCTCTCTCTCTCTCCTGGCAAACATCCACCGCTTTGTGCTCACCTCGCGCTGTTCAAGTCTACAACCTCACAATTGGTTGCAATTTAGCCAGGATACATCAGAGGTGCGTAACATGACTGAAATTCATGCAGTTCAAATGTTACTGTTGGCTTTGCACTATCAACATGCCTGAGGCAACACTAAAGTGGCTCTCCCATTTTCCATAATCATAATCCCATAGCTAGCTTAGATTACATATTATTACATCAAATAAGATATGCTGGCCATTTTCTCATATTGTATTTAAAACAAAACCTTATCACTGTCATTGAAGCTATTTTTCAGACCGTTGTTTGTCCAGGTACAGAATTCTCCTCCCCAGTCAGGTCTAACTCTATAGTACTGATGATGCTGCCATAACTACTACTGGCCAATGATCACTGCATCAGAACATGGGTCCTCAGAGGCATATAGGCCTACCGACCCTAAAATAACCCAGTTAAAAGAATAAAGTAAAGTGAAGAATGGGACCACTCTGTGTGTCCCCCTGATACAGCCTTTACAGAGATACTATGTTCCTGTCTCACCACACAAAGGACTCACTGTCTCACAGATAAGGCTATCGGACAAATAACAATAATATGACAAAAAGTTGCTTCTAAATACACCTCAATTCAGACCTGGTGCAAAATATTTTTCTAATATTTTATGTGGCAAAGAGCAAACAATCCATTAGTAAGTTCCCGTCGCAAGCCATTCTCTGGCTGAGGACAGCCTCAACAAATAGCACAGTGAGCATTGAGCAATAGCACAGATCAGCCTTCATCAACACCAGCATGCATTGTCTCCTTTCGGCCATCTATCTGTAACTTTGGTCAACTTTGAGTTCAACTTGGGATAACCGGTACCACGAAAGTGGCTAACCTTTTAGCCAGGTACATTTCTGTGGCAACGAATCCTTCAGAACTAACCTGCAGGTTAACTCAGAGCTTACTCCATTTATCCTGAATGAAGTGGCTGAGCCACGAGTTGAGGACCAATGAAATCAGAATCCCTCCCTCTTATATTTTTTGTTTTTAGTTTTAAAATTTTAATTTTAAAATACCTATCACATTACACATTTAGTAATGACAGAATGCATTTGAAACATCAAGCATAGTAAAACTTTTGCAGCTATGACTTAATACAATTATTTTATCGATGGGAGTGGGAAAAATGGTGCTTGTGCACACCAAAGCACACCAAAGCACACCAAAGCACACCAAAGCACACCAAAGACAGCATTAATGATAAGTAATAAAATAAAGACGGCACTTCTAAAAGCCTATTCACACCATAGCCTGCTGAATTTGCAAGATACATTTTCTTTCATTTTGATTTCTACACAAATGAAAATGTGGCACTGACTCGCCCATGGATTGATGCTACAGCATTGTCTCCATGAAGAGTTCGGCATTCGACTAGCCACGTGGCAGATGAGCAATATCCACCATTGTAGTATACGGATGAAGCCTGAGATGGAATGTGAAGCTAACTGAAGCTGGCTAGCTTCAGAAAACCCAGAGTAGATCTAGCTTCCTTCATAGTATACCCCTCTGGTCAGCCACCACAGTGTCAAACAACAGTATTGATTTCTCTCTCCTCTGGGGCCAGGGGTAACATTTGACTGGAGCCATAACTCATGCTGTACAGTATGGCACAACTCAACTACACCCTTCATTTGACAAAGAGACTCAAAGTACAAGGCCTATCTGACATGGACAGTGATGCATCTCAAATCATTACCCAGAGGGTGACAGACTGGGTTATGATGTCACCTCTTTAACTGCTGCTCTATTTGAGTGCCTCCACCAGAAACAAGGAGGGACAGAAAAATGACTGTTATCTGTCATAGTAAATAGAACATCTTTACACAGGCCTTTCTTCTTTACTGCCATTATCTGTGAGTGGGTGCAGAGTTTCAGAAAGAGGATGAAGAAACATTAAGATATCAAAGCTATACTTTAAAATGTTTATCTTCAATATTCTTGATATCACTTTTCTATGAAGTGGAATAATAAGATAATTGTAACGATAAGATATGATACGGTGATCATTATTCTAAGAATCATTTCTTAATATTTATATTTCTAAATGTGCATGTCTCTCCTATCATTTCTGTGTGGACGGGGTCTGGGAAGCTTACCTTGAGCTCCTTGAAGAAGATGCAGCTCCTGGCCCACTCCACTATGGAGAACAGAGTCTGGTCGGCCATGCGACACATGAGGCTGAAGGTGTTGAGCTTGTCCTGCCGGCCCCGGCCACTCTGCTCCTGCTGCAGGAAGGCCATGATCTTACTCTGCACCTGCATCTCATCTGGGTCGCAGCGCAGCAGCTCCAGCACCAGGGGGGAGAGGCTGGGAGGCTGTGGGGAGCCACCGGAGGGGTACACATCCGGAAAGGGGTACCCCACCAGAGACTCTGGGGAGCTTGTGTGGTGGTCAGGGTACTCAGACTTGATGGCCCTGCTGGGGAATGCTGTGCACTGGTACTGGGTAGGCAGGGGTCCATGGGGCTGCATGGTCACCCCCAGGGAGTGGGGTCCGTAGAGGCTGGCCTCATAGTCGGTGGGGTTGATGCAGGATGGGGTGGAGGGCATGAGGCCTTTGGGGAGGGACGGGAGGCTGTGCAGGGTGCCGGTGAAGCCATAGTTAGTCTGTACAGGGGAGAGCTGTGGAGGAGCAGACTCCAGCTTGAAGCCTGTGGAACGTATCAAAGCCTTCTTCTGCTGCTTCATGGCTCTGTCCCGCTTGTACATGGGGCCAAACTTATTCCTGCCCCCACGCATGCGGTCCGCACGCACAGCTGTCACAGAAAGAGACAAGAAGTTGAGAAACAGAACTATGTCAACAATAGTGGGTCTTTATATGCAGTTTGTTACTAGGCTAGAGCCAGAAGGATATCATGGAAAAATGCTCCTCATGAAAAATAATTATTTGCACTATCCTTATAAAGAGAAACTCATTCAAACATATATCATTGTAAATACAGCCATAACAAGTGCACAGGAAAATAGCCTAATTTAGTTAGGAATATGTGTTTGGCAGTTTCCTGAACCCAATTTTTGGAAAAAGCAATGTAAAACAACCACCAGGGTATCACAATTCTCTTTTTGACAATTTACTAAACAGAACATATGCTAATGCATTTGCAGTTACACAATGGTAACCCTGTTGATGTAAATAGAAAGTATCCGTTTAAAACCACAGCAAGAAGCCCAGAGTTTTATTAGCAAATGAAGAATGTGTCATTTCTCCGCGGAAACAGGTGCTTCATTTTCGCATCACAGCCTGGGTGGGAATCACTGGTGTGCTCCGCGCTCTTTCCACCTCATGTTTTGCACGCTCTAGGCCCCCACAAAACCACGGATCCTAAACTGCTCTACTCTGTATATTGTCTGTCCCTAATTCAAAACATAACTACCACTACAACTTTTGCATAACTATTTAACAATTCAGATGCAACTGATACGAAGACATTAGGCTATAGCATCCCCTGTAGGCATACAGACCATCTATTGGACATATTTTGGGCGCATAGCAAATTATAACAAATGCAAATAGATACAATCACATGCAAATGAAAAAATATGCCAAAACATTAAATATGCCAAAACAAAACACTCCTGGACAATAAGGTTGAAATCCACTCACTGATAATGTCAAATGAAGGGGTGAGATGAAGAGAACCATACCTTCTAATCTCATACCAACACTGAGGCATTTCTGGAATCGGCAGCAGGGACATCTCTTCCGCTGTGTTTTGTCTATTTTACACTCCTGGTTTTCTGCACAAGTGTACCTCTTATTGTTCTGGACTGTCCTCTTGAAGAAGCCCTGGAGAAAATATGTATCCTATATTAGGTTGATGGGCCACAATACCCACAAACACAAGAAAAAAAAGAAAATTGAAATAATGAATAATTCCAAATGAAAATACCTTACAACTTTCACATGTAAGGAGTCCATAGTGGTATCCTGAGACCTTATCTCCACAAACAGGACACGATTCTTCGAAATCTTCATCATAGGTGTAGTCCATTATGCCTACCTTCAATGGAACACCTGGTTCGCAAATAAAATCAAGGGTCAAGAACGGATGAAGCAGGGATGTAACGAATCAATTAATTCAAATAATGTACAGTTTCTTAATCGAATGCATTTACTGCCCTTGAGAAATGTTTTAAATGCAGGACGAAATTGTAGGATTCTGTGCAGTTATGAAATAATATCTGCTTTAAATCAAACTTCCAAAAGGCTTGAAATCTAAAACAAAAATATAGTTAGGCTAATAATAATCTTAATATGGGTTAATATATATATTGCGAAGAATGCAGAAGTTTATTTATTTCCACAATAAATATGGTAGATTGATGGTGCGGTGATATTAGCGTTTTCAGAGAGCTGATTGACAACCGTTTCAGTCTATTTCACAAAAATAAGACCGACGATTCCATTATACATGGGAGCATACATTAAAACATTTAAATTAATAATTTATTACAATCCAATGTAAACAATTGTTTTTTATGATAAGACAGGCTCATCTTTAGACGGATTCGACCGAATATAACGCGTATGGTTGATTACCCCGTGACCGGGAGACTCATGGGCGGCGCACAATTGGCTCAGCGTCGTCTAGGGTAGGGGAGGGAATGGCCGGCAGGGATGTAGCTCAGTTGATAGAGCATGACGTTTGCAACGCCAGGGTTGTGGGTTCGATTCCCACGGGGGGCCAGTATTTAAAAAAAAAAAAAAAAAAAAAAAAAACTGTAAGTCGCTCTGGATAAGAGCGTCTGCTAAATGACTAAAATTGTAAAAAATTTAAAATGTAATTACCTTTATCGCCCCCTTCTTCCAAGTGGTTATTCCTATTAATCAAGAAATGGCTCCGACTAGGATAGAATAACGCCTTTTATAATCCACACGCACAACACTGTCCACGCACGTTTCAGATCTCTTCTGTCTATAAGCATAGCCTTCGACACGTGCACATGTCCTCTACTCAGGGCTCTCTCACCTTCTATTGGGAGATTGGCCAATGAGCGGTGGATGCGACCACCTATCGTGAAAAAACAACCTATGTGTGGTACAGTATAATCTTTCTTGCAAAATAATAAACGAAGATGTCCTATCTTAAGGAGAATGCCTTGAACCAACACGGTGTCAAATAGGAACGGAGGATGACCGAAAGTGATAATAGCCTATCTATTATGATGATTATGACTACTACTACTATTATTATTATTATTATTAATGTCGTTGTTGTTATTATTATTATTGCTATTATAGCATAGTTAGGCTATAACGATTATTATTACAATTATTGTTATTATTAGGCTATTCATGTTGTTTGTTGTTATTTATATATTATTATTATTATCGTAACCATCAGTCGTTTTTGTTTTCGTAATTAAGATGCAGAGTTAGTTTTTATTCTGTGACTAAGTTATGACTTTAGACCATATGCATGTGAACAGCAATCATCTAAACATGAAATAATAATTGTTTTTATAATAATTTATTCATGAATCAATAGGCTCGATCTATAACAGGAAACGCAAACCCAATGCATATTAGTTAATTATATTTTAAGGCCGTTCAAACAATAGCCTACATTTCGACAAGGCGTGTTAGGCTAACTAGCTTTTATAATTATTTTTGACAAAATAGGAAGATTATATCCAATAAGTAGGCTTAATTGTTTTGTTTTTCTGTAGGCTATTTTGTAGAATTCATTTCGATTCACTGATTCACATTGGACTATATTTGCTGTTTTGGCAATTACCTTTACATGCAAACGGCTTAAAAAATATATCTAAATCTATTGGCCTAGGCTACTCTATACCTCAAGTTCAGACGTAGAGAGGAAGCATTTAATTTTGTACCATTTTGATTTCAAATGTAGAGCAAAACTGTATTTTTTGTTCTTATTTCCCTTACTGAGGCATGAAGAATCACCCCACCAATAAAAAAAAAGTGTGCAAGGAGAAATACTTTGGAACCTATTGAATAGTTGAAGAGCTATTCCTTGAATAGACTACTGAATATGCCAGGTCAATATAATATTTGTCTTGCATTATGTTGAAAGGCTTTGACATAAACAAGGGACATTTATTTCTATTTTAATGTTGGTCTATCTGCTTACTTATAGGGTTTACAAATAGCAAATAACTAAAAGTTAATGTAGGCATATCCAAAGCTTCAGACAATTCTACACATTCCACTAGCGGATTTGTTCACTTACCTTGTGCCTTTTCTCCCAACATTGTATTACCTATGAGGTAGGCTATACGTCGAAGACAATAAAACCTATTAAAGAAGATGCTGCAAAACTTAGATCACTTTGGATGTTATATACAATCCGAATCTGCTAAACAAATTCGTAGCCTAATAAACAAATAATTTAGGATAATGGTGATCTCCACGAATAACTGAAGTCATTTCCAGCTTCCTCTTTGCTGTTTTTTCTTTATCAAATAGCAGAAAAAGTTACTAAAGTTCTTATTGGTCATCGTCATGTGACGACTACGGAGACGATGATGCACCCTTTTTTCCCATCCAAGCAAGCAGATAATAACTGAGATGCACATATACATGAGTAGACAGACACACAGTAAATCGTACGGGTCTGTTACGCCTAATTTAATCAAGAAAATGAGCAGATTTCAAACATTTCTATTATTCATCATCAATAGGCCTATTATGCTTTCAGTACTCATATATTCTAAGACACAATGCATTTGGCATAAATGTATGTAAAACAATCAGAACACATTTACTTTTGATTTACATTTAATTTATAGTATAATCCTTTGCATTTTAGATAACATTTCATTCATGGCATTTCAAACATTTTTCTGAGAGATTATTCCAGTTTCAGTACCTGAGATGTTGTACCTGCATGGTCCCTGCTGGAATGAGCTCTATGAGAAAAAATGTCAGTTCAACTTCTCTGTTGTCACAATGACTATCTATCCATATTGGATGTCGGTCCTTAAGCACTGTGTATGCCAGTTCAATAAGCTAATGTAATTATTAATGGAAACTGGCATACTGTGGCTATGAGAAATCTACCAGCGCAGCCAGGTCAAATTAATAAAACTCAAGGTTTTTCTTAGAATCTACATTCTGAGACGCGCTCCTGAGTTCTAATATATCTGTTGTTGTATCAGGTCTGAAATGTCCACTTTTGTATAGGTTCTGTGTTAATGAGACTGGTGTGCAATGTGAATATAGAACATAGGTTCAGTGAGGGGAGATATTGTGTAGAGATGCTGTATTCCTAAGATATTGAACTCAAGTGCCTGACTATGTGAATGGCATGAGGGTCAAGGTCAATTCAACCTCTTATTTGAATGTGTAAAAGCCTGTGTGGCGAAACATTACAAGTCTACGCCAGGGCATTTGGTTATCTAGTAATTATAGTTGTATCAATTTGTCTGCATAATTGAAGCAATACAAAACCCACAAGGTATTTATTTTGGAATTCCGGTTCATGATAAACATTTGCTTCATTCTGGATTCCACCCATCGGGGGCGGATTGGCCATCTGGCAATTCTGACAAATGCCAGATGGGCTGGACCATTTTTTAGTTAGTTGGGCTGGTCAAAATTGACATACACAAAGAAATTTTTTTTATTCAAAAATGAAAATAAATGAAAAAGGTGACATGGCCGGCAGCCCATGGGCCTGTTAAGATGTATTTTACAGATCTGTAATGAGCCTTTGGCTTATCAGTGGCCAACAGCAGGCCCCCCTACCAAGATGGACCGACCCGGTTTTCTGATAGGCTAAGCTGAGGTCACACAAACTCACATTCAAAGTCAAACGGGTCATCAGCAAAGAGACCTGCTCCGACTCTGTAATCAGTTAGTCAGCCAAGAAAATGTATCGTAAAAAATGGAAAGGGTGCCTATAAACGTAGAAATGGCACATACTACACTGTCACCTCACTCAAAACGTAATTTTTTGGGGCCAGCTAAAACCATGATTTGGTGAAAGAGTAAAGTGCATTATCCTCATGATTACTGTAAGGAAAGTGTGTGCCCTGCCTCTGTGCCTGTTGCGCTGGGGCATGCTGCAGTGCTTAATTTGTAACTTGGGGGAGTTCTCAGGTACCGGAACGCATGAGAAAAAAATCACCTTTATAATCAAGCATTGCATGCATATCATCGCATTTGCATAGTGACATAGAGCATTAGAGTAGAGGCACTTACAGAAGTTGCACACATTGGGAAACATTTTTGTAGCCTAGGGTCCGGGGAAAATGTGGCCTTTTATAAACGCATTTCATGCAATTCTACATCATTTTACATGACTGGTGACCTTGGCAGAATATTTTTTTAATACAGCACAAATTATCGAAATGGCAGGCTACTTTGACACTGACAAACTGAGAATCTGAGATCAATAAAAACAACCTTGTCTTGAATCCATCAATATCCTAGGCCTAGGTCGGTGGTGACATATTGTAGGCTACAATATGAGGAGGAAATCATAGTCCTAAAAATGCTTTGACTGACTCACCCAATGATGCTCGCTGGTGATGGCCGATGCGCTCGTGCCAAAAACCAATCTCTCTTTTGTTTTACTTTGTAAAACAATATTTGGAAGTTGATCAAATATGTTGGTAGCCTACAGCATAGAGTATTTTCTTTTCAGCAAGAGACATTTGCTTTCCAACCTGTGTTTTCCCTCGATTGTATTTGAAATATTGCGAAAGGCCTGTTTTGTCTGCATGTTGTTCACTGACAGATTTCCTGCGCGTTCCAGACTGTAGGCTATTCCTTGTTATTGGGCTACAATCCACAATGACCTATTGAACCTCTGTGGCTAAATTATAGGCCTTCTCATGGTGTAGTAGACTATTCTGAATGATGTCATTACTTTCTGAACAGACAGCTGTAATTCTACAACTTTGGCACATTTAATTCAATTCATCAGGGGTGCTGCAGTTCCTTCAGAACCCTTCGTGCGGCAATGATTCTATAAGGAAATAAATGATGAAGTGCAACGCTGGAGAGATGAGGCTCATGTCT